TCCGCGGTCACACTAGCCCTCCCGTACATGTTCTGATGCCAACGGAAATGTTCCGGTCCCCCCGGGTAGGTGGCCAATTTAAGACAAGAAGCCAAAACTGTCGTACGACATATTAAACTTCATGATTTTACAAAACTTGGTCGGTAATTACCTTATTGACAGTCAACGGTCACAATAGCCCGTCCGGGCATGTTCCTGAGTCCCCGGGGAAGTGGCCAATTCTCGACACGAACCAAAACCCGTTGTGCGACATGTCAATCTTCATGATTTTACAAAACTTGGCCGGTAATGGCTTTATTGACAGTCCACGATCACACTAGCCCTCCCGGGCATATTCTGATGCCAAAGGAAATATTCCGGTACCCTCGAGATTTGATTTTACAGAACTTGGCTGGGCACCGGAACATGCCCGGGAGGCTAGTATGACCGTGAACTGTCAATAAGGCCTTTGCCTTACCGGTCGAGTTTTGTAAAATTTGAATTTTGATATGTCGCACGACGGCTTTTGGTTTCATAACAAATGTTCATCGGAGATGGGATGGGCATTGAAGTGTGTCGGCGCAAGACGACGCAGCTTACTCGACCTCTCGAGTGACATTTCCTGTGCCGTCAAATCCAGGGTCCTCACTTCGTCGACAAACTCGTCTGCCTGGACCGCCTTCCACAGAAATGTTTCCGCAGCCTGGTACTCCTCCTGTCGCAACGGTACATCCACCGTGGGGATCGGCTTCGATCGGCAGCTTCTTGATGCGTCGCTGGCAATTGGACACGAATCGAAACCATCACTGTCCAACGCGAAATATGCTGCAACCTCTCCGTAAACCTCTCAGGTAACACGATGTGAAGCAGCCGCACGCTCGCCCGGAGTTCTTCGGCAACTTCCACATTTCGACGCTTTTGCTTCGGCCATTCTTCCACTCCGCGATACGGTCCTTGGAACCATCGGTTTCCCGACCCATCGCCAATCTTCTGAATGCGTGATGCTGAGGATCTTGCCAATACGATTGGCAACGAATGGCTTATACCTTCGTTGGTTTGATTTCACCCATGATACTACCGTATCAGAGTCACACCACAGGAACCGCTTCACTACCGGAAAGGTATAGTCTTCGCAGATCGACTTTGCCAATCGCGCACTGAGAACAGCCGCTTCCAGCTCCAACCACCGTGTAGACAGGTACTGTAATGGCGCCACCTTCGCTTTGACCTCGATGATTGTGTAGTGAACGACTTCGCCGTCCTCGAACCTGAAGTAGGCTACGCATCCATATGCCGCATCTCCAGCGTCAGTGAAAACGTGTAGCTGCACCGTTTCATAGACCTTCTAGTCCAATCCACCGAGGTGGAACACGAATCTCATCGATTAGATGGAACAGCTGTGTCCACTGCAACCATCACTCGTAGTGAGCTTCCGTGAGCTTCTCGTCCCAACCAATGCCGCTACGCCACAAATCCTGCATTATGATCCGTCCGTGTATCAGCAACGGAGCCAGAAACTGCTTTGGATCGAACATGCTAGGACTGTAGGGCTGCCGAATCTCCGTCGAGAAAATTAAGTGATCTCCTTTCGGGTCCCACAGCACTCCCAGGACTCTCTCCGTAGCGCAATGCTTCTAGTGGTTTCACCACAGACTTCTCCTCTCCGAGCTGAAGTAGCACTTCCTCCGAGTTAGAAACCCAGTCCCGAATCTCGAACCCACCGTTGGCGCGTACACGTCGCACATCCATCGCTAGCCTCACCGCTTCCGCTTCTCTATCGGCACTATCGAAATAGTCGTCGACGTGGTGCTTTCGGGCGATAGCACCATTTCCACCGCTCCGTTCAAACCCGGATATAGGAACCGTTGTGCCTGACGATCTTCTGCAAGAATCCATGCTTGGTGAAACATTTCCCTAATGTCACCTCCAAACGCCACTCTCCTCTCGCGGAATCCACTAATAACAGCTGGTGTAGCAACGTTATCATTTCTAGACCCTTCAACAGCTTATCGTTAAACGGCAGTCCATGAGTCTTCGCTGCCGCATCCCAGACCAACCGCACCTTGCCTGGTTTCTTCGGATGTATCACGTAGTTCAGCGGTAGGTACCAAGCTTTACTCTTCGGCGTCTCCTTTAATTAACCTGTTCGGTGATGCGACGCGCGTAGCCTTTGGCAAGATATTCTTCCAACTGGTTCTGCAAACAACAACTGTATCTTTAAGTTATTGTAGATTAAAATATAGCAAGCTTATTGATATCAAAATGATTGCAGTTTCATTCACACATCATAATCAATCATAGTAACACCCCGGTTACTGCTTTAGCTGATTACCTGGCTCATAACTTGTCTTAAACCTGTAAATTTAGAAAAATGTGAATGATTTTATATACCTGGAATTTTTCAGAAAAACGAAAAACGACTTTAGTTTTCTTCATTGAGTCGACACCCTGATCAGACTTGAATGTTTTTTGACGTAGGACTACGTCTGTGATTTCTATATGGGGGCACACTTTGTGAAAACCTAAAATGGAACATGTAACAACATTATGAAAGATTTTGAACTTTAATAACTCAGCTACCCCTGGACCAATTTCAATCATGTTATCACCAATCGATCAGAAATATTTCTACGCATCTATTGAATTTGAGACTGTATCATTTTTCAAAATGTCACTATTGAATACTGCATGAATGTGCAATTGTTGCTATGATAATTAAAATTATCACCGATTGCCTTCGAAAAGCGATTTCCCTAACACAGATTTCAAAGTTGAATTCCATCCAGTCTCACCAAATGGTGTTTATTCAATCACCGCGTGGTGAGTGGTGGTGTTCTCCAGTACACAACGAAATGTTGCCGGCAAGCAGCGAGCTGGAGCCCACATGAGCATCCATAGATCGCATAGCAGTGGGCCATCTAAGTCAAGCGCGTCATACTAAAGAGTATAGACGCTCAAATTCCTATTCCTACACAAAACACAAGCTTTTGCTGCAGTTAACAAATAAAATTTATTATATAGGACCACGTAGTCCTACGTCACCATTGCGTACAATCCCATTGGGCTGTCCCTTGATGTTTTTTTTTTCATAAAGATCGATTCAAAAATGATGGGGTAGGAAGTCATATATTTTGTGACAGGACACTTGTAAAAAATCGTAAAATTTGTGGACGTCACATTTGCATCTCCCCTAAAGGATTATCCTTTTATTTAACGTATCCGTCTGTAGGTGCTTAAGTGTTAAAATTTCCAAGCCTTACGGCTTTAATTTTGTTTCCCCAGTATCAGGATTTGTCGGTTTCTCTTCTCAATTTTCTGCAAGTATATAGAGGTGTTAACGATTATTCCTATCCTAGGAATTTATGTGTATCTTCCTGTCCGTCCACGCAAAAATGGCATCTGCCAAGTAAGTAGTTGAGTATCATTTTTACTCCAACAACTCCAGTCAATTGAACCACGGTCGGGGGCTGTTAACGATGTCCATCGTACTCGCCCCATTGCGCAGGGCAAAAATAAATTGTAATTTATTGATATGCAAAAAAGCTCTCTTCACCGCTCTGGCGTCGTCGTCGTAGTCGGCGTCGTTGTAGCCATTGTCATAGTCGTTACCCCGACAGCCAGCAATTTCATCTGAGTCACGTTGAAATTGACCATATGGTGCAAGACCATCAAAGCCTCCACCCACTCACACACACAAGTACCTACGTACGTACCAATATTGGAAGTTCGATCTCGGATCTCAGACCAGACATCGCAACGACGGACTAGGCAAGTGTGGAATGGGCACCCAGGACGGGAGTGCGGGTGTGCAATTCCATTAGTGTCTAGGGGCGAAAAAGCCTTCTCCTAAAGATTATAGCCTCCACACGTTACCCGCCCAACGAGATACCATTATTTAGCTGGGGCCTGTTAGCAGAAAGAGCCCCCGATCGCAGAGTGGTACGTGCGAAGATAGAACCTATTTAGAAACACCTCTCGCCATCCCTGCTGGCGTTTCAACAGCAGCAACAGATTGGAATTTCTGCTCGCTTTAAGGTCGTCTCACTCCCCTTTATTCTGCTGCTGCTGCTAAGAGGTCTGACATTTGTTGATTCTCCCTTGGAAACAACTGGCGATTGGCTGGCAAGAACACGACGGCGCACTACCTATGATGGATGATATTTCGTTGCAGCTCAATAACAAATACATACCTAGATAATTTGTGCAAAGTGCAGAAAGAATCAACAGTCGCGTCACGATCTAAGCCGAGGGGGGGGGGGGTAATCTCTGCATGGGGCTGCTCAACATTTCGTCATACCCATTAGCATAGGCCCCCCTGTTAATGCAATTGTTTCTGCCAATAATAGCAGCAGACATGCCATTTTTCTGATTCGGAAATTCCGCACGGTCTGAAAGCGAAAGAGAGAAAACGCGCGCCTTCCTTCTTCGACAGTCACCGCGGCGTGTTCTTGGCGTGCCATTCTCGAATGGCAAGTTCTTCAAGTCGTGTCTCTGTCTTGTTATTGTGGGGTTTCACCAAACGAAAACAAATTTGCACGCCTCATTTGAAATGCAAATCCCAGGCCCCCTTGTTTGTGGTTTGCTGCTGCAAATTTCAACTCAGCCGCCAAACGTCAAGGTCGGTCTAATGAAGACGGTTTGCGATAAAAAAAATAAGTCTACCGACTCAGTGGGAGCTTACCCGAAGAACTTGAATTGATCATGCTTCGGTGAGATTGAATTTGTTTTTTCTGATTGCGAAAAAGTTCAAATGGCACTTCCGGGGGGAATTTCAGAGCAATAACAGTGGCTCCAGAAGGCCTCTTCTCTTTTCTTGAGCGGGGTTACACTATGAAAACTAAGGAACTTCTAAGGCATGTTCAACGACCTTCAGAACTTCAAGTCTATTGGGTTTCGAAGGTGGGTTCTCTGGGTCCTAAAAGCCCCCGTAAATTCTTCAAACTTGATGATAATTTTCTCCCATATCTCCAGGACAAAAATTGCCTCAAATACTCAACCGCTTTCTTTCTTCTCTTCCGCAGCCCGGCGAGTCCGGTTTCGTGGTGCTGGGCGACCTCACGCTCGAAACCTCGACCGATCCGGACGATTCGTGGGCCATGGGACCCCCGTCGCCGTGCGATGTCGAGTTCGCCAACGCTAACATTGTGATCAACGGTAAATCCAGTATGAGAAACAAGACTACTAGGGATAGCAAGGTAAGTGCCAAGTCTGATGACTTCTTCGAACGGTGTACCACTATTTGCATAATTATCCTTCCTCCAACTGTCCGACTCAATGAGAGCTCATTATTGAACACGCGCATTTACACCTCGGATGGGCACGTTTGTCCATTTTACTTTCTTTGCATACTATATAGTTGGTTTGCCAACTATGCACCCAAAACTTGACTAAAGGTTTCTTCGTATTTCCTGCCACGAATCGTAGCAAAAAAACTGTTGCAAAACTTTATTCAGAGTGCACAGATTGATGACTGAGTTCAAGACTGAAACGAACTAGCAACCATAGGAAGCAGCTGATTGAAATGCAAATCAAACCGATGAAAATGGAGCTCTTTTTCCCTGCTAACACTAAAGACCGAAAGCGATTGCCATCAATCTTGATAGTTTGCGAAGCTGCTTTCCCTTCGACGAAGACGACGACGACGACGACGTCTTAGTCCAAAGCGGGAACCGGAGAGTCAATTTCAATTGACTGACTGCCAACAATGGCTAGTTGGACGGTTGCGAATTTGTCTGTCTATTTGCCTGCCCTCAAGCCATCAGTTACGGACTTGGTCGTAACTTTTGTGTGCGTACCTAAATCTGGAGCTGCAGCAGCACGACGACGATGTCGATTCCGATTTACACTCACTCCACTGCTGCTCCAGAGTGCTGAGTTTGATGAGGATAAAGTTAGTTTCCTCGGGTTGGAACGGAGTGACGCATTTCCAATCTGTTCGGTGTCATCAAATCGGTATCCCGGGCAAAAATGCTTGCCGGAATTATACAATTCGTGCTGGCTTAAAGCAATAACTCCCGCACTCCAAACACGATGCCTCCGTTGAAATGTGTAACGGCAAACTTGCAATGTTGGAAAAATCATACCTCAGCCATGTTATTGACAAATTTCAAATTTATTGACGCCATTTGAAACTACAAATTTTTAAAGATTAATTCGGTTTCAATAGATTTAAAAGCTATCGATAAATTTTTGAGCAATGATTTTTCAAACATTGCCTCTTTGCCGCTCATATTTTACCGGAGGCATCTGTGGCATCAAGTGATTCTTATGTAAAAAATATGAGCATTTTAAGATATTTTGCATTTTCAAGATCCTGGACCATGAGAAGATTTCAAGATTTAAATCTTACATAAATATTGGAAATGCTTAACATTGATATGCTGTTACGATTGCGAATTTGGAATAAATCAAATGTTTGAGACACCATTTATTTTTTATTTTGGCTCTTTGAAAATTTTAAAGATCTTGAACTTGGACTTGGAATTCTAAACATTAAGCCTTTTATTTGTTTAGATCTTCGACTTTGAGTAAAATTAATCTAATCTAATCTAACACCAACACAGCCAGTTCTTGAAAGTATCCTGGAAAATGATATATATATATATATATATATATCTGCATCATTTTTCTTGTCTATTTGATATATGTTTCACATCGAAGATGCGTCACACATATCAAAACGGCCAGGCCTACTGTGCAGCATTTAAGGGGTAAGATGATTCAGAAAACATCGAGCCTGTTTAAATCGAAGATGCTTCAGAATCCAATAAATGAATGAAACGTGGACATCGCGTACCGTACGTTCCGATTTTGGTAATTATATGATTGGTTGGTCGTTAGAAGCATCAAAGCTAGAAAGGTTAAGTAATGCTCCATTTTCTTCTGACGGTTGGGATATGAGCACTAACTATTGTCCTACACCCAACCGGGATTCGCTTACAATTATGTGGGATTCATCATCAGAGGATGTTAGTGGAGACCGCATGAACCGAGGATGCGATATACATAGCTGCGGTCCAATGCGAGAAAATTGGAGACCGAAAAATGTAGAGTGTATTAGTGAGGTATATTAATTATGTCGAAAAAATTGGAAAAAGGTTGCCGACTGGACTCGAACCACGAACGTTGCGATTATCAGACCTGTGCTTTCTCCACTGCTCTCTCCATGCTTCTGAATATGGATAGCCTAGAAACAAACATGAAGCGCTCATTTTCTTGCATAGTCGACTTCGTATGCTTTTTCTGCTGGAGAGATTCGAGGCAAGTGTGTGAATAGAGGATGATAGGAAACGGAACTAACATTCATTTTAATAGATTTTTGGTTTGCGTGTAGTCTTTTATGACTTCTGGATATAGCGCCATTACTCGCTTTCTTAAAAGAGAAGAGGAAAAGAAGAAGGACAAAGGGAAAAGGATAATGTGAAATCTATGAAGATAAACAATATTTTCGATTTGAGATATACAATATAGAAATGCACTGATCACTACCCGAGTCTTGTCACTATTATCAAGTCATAAAAAGTAACAAGAACTAAAATATGATCCTTTGATTACTGGAAAATCCTGATTCCCGCGTTGAAGTTTGAAGTTGTCACGACTAGGGTTCGGAGGTAGATCTTACACCAGTAACGCACCACAAAAAGGTGATCTCCCAACGTTACTGGTTTTAAAAAGATAAAAATTTCCAAAATGGAACGAACTCACCAAGTTTAGCCAATTGAACCTGAAGGCTGCCTGACATGTGTTGATGTAGAAGTCCAAATTGTAGACGAAGCTTGACGAAGATCAACATGAACTAGTCCGGTTTATGGTAGTTGCGAATGTCTTCTTTCACATCCCGTAACCCTATTAGTTTTTTTTTTTTATATCCAGAAATTCGAATAAGTTTAAGTCTCAGAATCGTTTTTTTTTTCTTTTTCCCTTGATTTGTTTTCCGTCGATCTTGTTTTCCGTGTTGAGCACCAATGCTACCGACGCCAGGAAGGCAGCTCCCACACCTGGACCCTATCTATCGACTCATCAACTCATGAACCGGGGCCCAACGGCTTTACTTCCCTTTCGAAGGATGCGTCAGATTAATTTTCCGTGTGTATTCACGATCTTTCCATCTTGGAAAATTTTCCTCGTTCCAGAATAATGAGATTTTTTCTTGCACCGCTATCTAGAAAAGTTGTGTAGCTCTTAGAGCTATACACATCTGAGGTTTTTTAAAAGTTTCTATATCCGAGGTCTTTGAAATTTATTGTCTAAAAATTTTGAACATTTGCCTTGTTATTATAATTTATAATAAGGCATAAGGATGATGCAAATAATATTTCCATTTTATGTCCGACATCACTCAAAAAGGACGAGGAGGGGCAAACATCAAATAACAAACAACAAATAAGTTTACGTATAAATAACTCATTTAATGATAAATTCATAAATCAATAATAAAAAAAAATGTACTTTAAGGATAAAACCTAGAATGGAAAATAAAAAGAGCTAAATTTTCAAATTTTGGGTGACATAAAACAAAAATCAAATTAGCATTAGTCATAATCATGGTGACCAGCAAATCATAATTTGTAATTTCCCGGTGTTTTTCCCGAAATTTTGGTGATTTTCCCGGTTGATTTGAGCCAGTAAAATTTCTGATTACTAAAATATAACTCATTTAGAGATCACTTACTCTTCGGCTCAATCGCATATATCATTGATTTAAATGTATTTTTCCCAACAGGGACATACCATTTTTTTAAATGGTTAGCTTTTCTTATCAAGAAGTCATTAAGATTTTTCGATGTTTTCACTATATTGAAAAATGTTTGCTCAAAACTCTTTACAGGATTTTTATGAAATGTTCTCAAATTTCCTTTAGAATCATTTCTTAACACATTTCTTTTCAGAGTTTCTCTAAAATGAATTTGAGATTCTCTCCGAGAGACCGTTGCAAATGTCTATACAACATTAGCAATTATCCTCAGAATTGTCACACCATTTTGCTCATAACTATCTTGGAGCTCTCCACTAAATTCTTCTGAAAATTCGCTTGCAATTCTCCTCAGAACCCTTGAAATTCTTCTCGAGATGCTCTTGGAATTAAACTCGGAATTCTCATAAAACTCATATCAGAATTCCTTTGTGAGATCCATGAAACTCTCTTCAGAATTCGCTCGATATTATCTTTAAATTTGCTAAGAATTTCCTTGAATTCGCTTGATATTATCTTTAAATTTGCTTGGAATTTCCTTTGAATTGCCATCACAATTCTTCTAAGAACTTATTTTGAATATTCATTTGAAATGGACCTGGAATCCGCTTCACAATCGTCATGAATTTTCCAAAAAGAACTACTTACAGATTCTACTCTGAACTTCTGAAGTCCCAAGACAAATGACTTGGAGTTCTAGTGAAATCTCTCTTAGGGTCACATTTTTGTTATCTGCAGAATTCATCCTAAAATCTTTTCAAAATCTCATAATATTTAGTTCATTAAAGTGACTGTAGCCTGAAAATATTTTCCAGTCCAAGGGCCTTGCAATTGTTTAAAGGTCCAGACTCTTATTTTTCCCGGTTTGTCATCGAAATTCACGGACTTTTGCCGATTTTTTCCCGGTGATTTCGAATTCGCGCCTTTTTCCCGGTTTTCCTGAATTCTTGGTTCACTGTATAATAAATAAATAATAATTTTTCGAGGCAAATTTATGGGATCGGTAAACCATTATTTGTTTTATTTTAAATGAGCATGACAAATGTTCAGGATGGGTTGTGATTGTGAGTTTATAAAATTTCTCGAAGTGGGTCGCATTCAACGAAATATTGAAACCATTATTTTCCGATCAATAAATATCACTATTAGTCACTTTTTTATTGCTTTAAAATCTATTTTCATTATTTTAGTCACTAAAGTCACTACTATTATATTAAATATCCACTACCAGCCCTGATATATGCTACGGGGTTGGGTCAAGATTCGCTTAAGCAGGCTATGCGACCTTAGGATTTTTTTTTATTTTGGAGGAGCTTGGGAGTAAACCCACGAACTTCTACTCAGTAAACAAAAGCGGCAGCCACCAAGCTATCCGAGCTCGCAAACAAATGAAATTAAACAGGAAGGATCTCACCGGAATAATCTGTAATTAGCCCTCCTCTTCGTGATTCTTAAGATCAATTGTTCTCGCAAATGGAGCTCCATCTCCTTGATCCTGATAAT